TGGTCTGCATACAAGGAGCTTCAGGTCTGCAAGGGATGCCTTTGTGTGTCATCCAGACCCCTCGTTAGGGAGGGGAAACTCACTCCCCAGCTGTCTGGTGCCCGCCGCAGACAACCACAACTGAGTCCCTCACTGGGAATTCCCTCCACTGGAAGAAGCTGCCTTACCCAAGATTATCTCCCCCTGGGCCCTGCTTTGATCCAGACAACTCTGTGGGGCCATCCCAGATGCAGAAAACCCTGCTGGATCAGCTGAGAACCCTGTAGCAACTGCATCAGAGGGCAGCTTTTCTCCCTGCACGATTCTACTTTCCTCCCTCGCTCCGTCTGGGGGTTGCTTTTGCGAGCTCTCCCCGTTAATCTTCTTGCATGCAAGTCCCCATCAGAAAGTCTTTTCCAGGGAACCCTACTGTATTGGCCCGTTCAGGCTACCATAGCAAAGTACAACAGACTGGTGGCTTAAATGATATAAGTTCATTTTCTCACAATTCTGGAAGCCGGAAGTCAGAGATCACAATGTCCTCTGGGACTCTCTCCTTGGCTGTTTTCTTTGTGTCTTCACATGGTCTTTGCTCTGTGCACATCTATCTTCCTCAATCTTCTTATAAGAATATCAGTCATATTAGATTAGAGCCCTCCCTAATAACCTCATTTTAACTTAATTACCTCTTTAAAGACTCCATATCTAAATACAGTTACTTTCTGAGGTATCTGGGGTTCAACTTAGGAGTTTTGGGTGGTCACAGCTTAGCCCATGGTCCCTACCTAATACGTTAAAGAGATTGAATGACCTGCCCAAAATAAAGCATTGTCCCCTTATTTAACAAGTTATAAAATATCTTACAGCCAAAGGGGTCTCCCTGATCTTCTGCCACTTTACCTTATGTAATGGAATGGGCAGGTATCACTGCCAGAAATCAAGAATTAGGATGCAGAGTTTCGGTGCTCTGTTTGCTACTCCGTGGTCTACCACAGTTGGGAATCTAACTCATTCTATTCTGCTAAACCATTGCCAGCACTCACAAACACACACTGTAGTGGACAGTTTAGTAATATTATTGTTAACTGATGTTATTAAAGATCACAAAATGACAAAATTAAGGACACACACAAAAAAATCACCCGGAGTATACTCTTGGTGAAGCAATAATACAGGGTACAAAAGAATAACAGAATACACATGTCTGGGTCTCTGGGATAGACTAGATCCTAAATATTTTAACCAATCAGAAAAATACAGAGCTGTATGGTCCCAAGTGGGGAATATTTCATACAATGGTGATCTGACAAGCTTCAAACATTTTTTCATTTGTAATGATGTGATTGTTAAACACTAGCTACACATTGCTGGATATTTGATTTCCTTGTCTCCTGACAAATCCACATGGATGAAAAGCTAGCTGGAGGAGACTGGGGAAAGAAAGAATCTTATTTTAATTTGAAAGTAGTTTTGCCTTGAAAACAGTATGCTGTAAACTTAAGTTTAGATTCTCCACTCTTTCCTCCTGTGTGCTATGCAAGTGCTTTCATTTCATTGGGCCTTATTTTTTTCTTATCTATAAAATGGAGATAACAACTTTTTTGGTTGTAGAATTATTGTGAAGATTAAACAGATTTATTTTTTAAATGTAAAGCACTCTGCACAGTGCTGGTGTATAGCAGGAACTCCATAAGTGTTAGTTTTCTGGCTGATTAAGAGGAAACCTCTCCTGCTAATCAATGCATTGCTACGACTACCAACAAAATGGGAGAAAGACCTTCAATAGCACCCCCAAATCTACTCCTTATGCATAGGGGAGGTGGATATTCTCTTTCAGCTTCAGGATTGCTGGAGGAGGCCTCCACATCGCCGCACTGAGCCCTGCAGTAACCCTGCTAGCTGATCTGTCAGGGTCTTCAGGACATTGGCAGTTCTAAAGGGTTAATGCATGCAATGGATAAGGAGAATAAACCAAACTGGGGTGGGGGAGAGCACACTACACAGATGGGTCTTTTTTTTTTTAACTTTTATTTTTGGTTCAGGAGTATATGTGCAAGTTTGTTACATGGGTAAACTTGTGTCATGGGGGTTTGCTGTACAGATTATTTCATCACCCAAGTACTAAGCCTAGTACCCAAGTTACATCTTCTGATCCTCACCTTTCTCCTACCCTTCACCCTCAAATAGGCCCCAATGTCTGTTGCTCCCCTCTTTGTGTCCATGTGTTCTCATCATTTAGCTCCCACTTATAAGTGAGAACATGAGGTATTTGATTTTCGCTCCTGAGTTAGTTTACTAAGGATACTAGCCATCAGCTCCATTCTTATTTCTGCAAAGCACATGATCTGGTTCTTTTTTAAGGCAGCATAGTATTCCACAATATATATGTATCACATTTTCTTAATTTGATCTGCCACTCATGGGCATTTAGGTTGATTCCATGTCTTTGCTATTATGAATAGTTCTGTAATAAACATGTGTGCCTGTGTCTTTATAATAGAAGAATTTATATTCCTTTGGGTATATACCCAGTAATGGGATTGCTGGGTCAAATGGCAGTTTTGTTTTTAGCTCTTTAAGGAATTGCCATACTACTTTCCGCAATGGTTGAACTAATTTACACTCCCACTAACAGTGTATAAGCATTCCCTTTTCTCCACAAACACACCAGCATCTGTTATTTTTTGACTTTGTAATAGTTGCAATTCTGACTGGTGTGAGATGGTATCTCACTGTGGTTTTGATATGTATTTCTCTAATGATCAGTGATACTGAGTTTTTCTCATCTGCTTGTTGGCCACATGTATGTCTTCTTTTGAAAAGTGTGTTCTCATATCCTTTGCCCACTTTTTAATGGGGTTGTTTGTCGTTTTCTTGTAAATTTAGGTTCCTTATAGATGCTGGATATTAGAACTTTGTCAGATGTATAGTTTTCAAATATTTTCTTCCATTCTGTAGGTCATTGGTTTTTTTGTTTGTTTGTTTGTTTGTTTGTTTGAGATGGAGTTTCGCTGTTGTTACCCAGGCTGGAGTGCAATGGCATGATCTGGGCTCACCGCAACCACCGCCTCCTGGGTTCAAGCAATTCTCTTGCCTCAGCCTCCCGAGTAGCTGGGACTACAGGTGCGCACCACCATGCCCAGCTAATTTTTGTATTTTTAGTAGAGACGGGGTTTCACCTTGTTGACCAGGATGGTCTAGATCTCTTGACCTCGTGATCCACCTGCCTTGGCCTCCCAAAGTGCTGGGATTATAGGCGTGAGGCACTGTGCCTGGCCAGGTCATTGTTAACTCTGTTGATAGTTTCTCTTGCTGTGAAGAAGCTCTTAAGTTTAATTAGAGCCTAGCTGATAAACAACTTCAGCAAAGTTTCATGATACAAAATCAATGCATAAAAATTACTGGTATTTCTATACATCAACAACAGCCAGGCTGAGAGCCAAATCAGGAATGCAATTCCATTCACAATTGCCACAAGAAGAATAAAACACCCGGGAATACAGCTAAACAGGGAGGTGAAAGATCTCTACAATGAGAATTATAAAACACTTCTCAAAGGAATCGGATATGACACAAACAAATGGAAAAACATTCCATGCTCATGGATAGGGAGAATCAATATCATTAAAATGGCCATACTGTCCAAAGCAATTTACAGATTCAGTGCTATTCCTATCAAACCATCAGTGATATTCTTCACAGAACTAGAAAGAAAAACTATTTTAAAATTCATATGGAATCAAAAAAGAGCCCAAATAGCCAAGGCAATCATTTGCAAAAAGAACAAAGCTGGAGGCATCATGTCAAACTATACTGCAGGGCTACCGTAATCACAACTGCATGGTACCTGTACAAAAAGAGATACATAGACCAATGGAACAGAATAGAGAGCCCAGAAATAAGCCTGCACACCTGCAATCAGCTGATCTTCAACAGAACTGACAAAAACAAGCAATGGGAAAAGGACACCTTATTCAATAAATGGTGCTGGGACAACTAGCTAGCCATATGTAGAAGATTGTATATACGCCAAATACAAAAATCAATCCAAGATGAATTAAAGACTTAAGTATAAAACTGAAAATTATAAAAACCCTGGAAGACAACCTAAGCAATACCATTCTGGACATAGGAACTGGCAAAGATTTCATGACAAAGACACCAAAAGCAATAATAACAAAAGCAAAAACTAACAAATGGGATCTAATTAAATTTTTTTCTCAGTTTATTCTGTTTTCAAATACTTATTATAGAACATGTTGCCCAATTCAAAAAGATACATAGAAGCAGATGAGAGGATTTGACACTTTGGTGAACATCCTTCCATGGCTTTGTGCTAAAATACATAAGTAAATGACTTTTAAAAAAGGGTTTTACGCTATGTGCTGGTTTGAAAACTGCATTCTTTTTCACTCAATACGTCATCATGCTTATTCATCATATCAGTGAATATAGACAGTCTTTAATAGCTGCCAAATATCCCATTGTATGTTTCAGAATTTATCCAATCCCATATTGCTGAATATTTAGATACTTTCCATTTATTTGCTATCAATTATAATAAAATATTTTGTTAAACAACTTTGTATGTACATTTTCTCAAACTTGTCCAATTGTCTTTAGGATAAGTTTTTAGACTAGGATTGCTTGATCAAGGGACATTGCCTTTATAAAAGTGGTTAACAATTTAGGTTCCCACCTCAAGTGTTAGGGAAATTCCAAATTCCAGCTGTCTCAATTCAAGTTCATGATGACAAAACTCAAATGGAATCTGAACACTGCAACCATATTATACATCTCTACATGATTTGCTTTCCTACTCTTTTAAGATAATTCTAAATCTTTTCATTTTGCCTTAACCCCCTGCACCTCTTTCCCCTCTTATATGCTCAGCTGATGTCCTGGTTTCATACCTGAAAAAAAAAAAAGGCATAGAGCACACCACCATTATCTGTCCACCCCCAAGCAACACACCCCTCCCACCCCCACATACACACATGTTGGAACCCATTTTTCTCTACCTTCCTCCTTCACTGTGGCGGAGTCTACATGGCTGGCACCGTTCAGCATCTTACTTGAACCACATTTACCCAACAACTCAAGGACTTCTCTCCTTCTCAGGAACTGACCCATAAGATCAATACCAAAACTTGATAAAGATAGCCTGAAAAGAAAAACAGATGTAGATCAATGTCATATCACTCATCCATTCTTTCAATACACATTTATCGAACACCTACTACATGCCAGGCACTAAGGGAAGAGAATGGTGAATAAGGTAAACTAGGTCTTTATCCAGGAAGAATTTATAATCTAGTGGTAGAAACAGATATAAACTCACCAAAAACAAGATAAGCAGATTGCTTGTGATGGATGCCAGAGAGACTGACTGGATAACAGCAATGGGCTGAATTCTAGACCTGCCCTAGAAAGGAAGGTCAGGGAATGATGCTCCAAGAGGAGACAGATGAAGAAAGCAGTCATTTGAAAGTTCTTCAGGGAAGAACATTCCAGGCAAAAAAAAAAAAAAAAAAAAAAAAAAAAGGCAAGCCCAGAAATCACTCTGACATTGGAGGCACAGCCAGGAGACCAGGGTGGCTGGAGAGCAGTGCATGCAAAAGGCAGGAAGGGTATAGATTGTGTGTGCAACAGGAGGGGGGCCGGAGTTTATTGCAAATTAATTGAGAACACGTTAAAGATTTTCAAGCAACATGCTTGAAATTTCATTTTAAAAAGATCTCTTGAGCTAACCTGTGGAGATTGAACTTTACGTAAACCCAAACAACTAGCTAGTGAATAGCCTCACTTTTTATATATTAAATCACATAAAACCCCAATAATGCAATGATGGTTTAAAAAAGACCCACCCCAAAGGTACATATCATACAGTGTAAAACCCCACATTCAAAGCAGAGGTGAATTACTTGTCAGGATCCCTTAGTGCTGAAACTGCATGTGAAACTTTCTTTCTTTTTCCTTCCTTCCTTCCTTGCTTGCCTCCTTCTTTTCTTCCTTCCTTCCCCTCCTCTTTCTTTTCTCTTCTTTCTTTCTTTCTTCTTTCTTTTCTTTCTTTCTTTCTTTCTTTCTTTCCTCTCTTTCTCTCTTTCTTTTTCTTTTTAATATTTGGCTTTATTAAAGTTTTTTTAAGGAAAAGAAAAAAAACCAGATTTGTGATTCTAAAAAAATTTTTGGCATAGATTCTAAACAAACACACTAAAGCCATATTCTTTAATCTTCTTAGATTCATAAATGAGCTATTTCCTTACTTAAGTACAATTAGGAATGGCTTATTTTCCCAATTTTAAGTGAGTTTGCTGCTGTGATAGGTCATGAATCATACCATCTTGCTTTTCCTCCGTAATTTGCTAAAAGTGTCTGAAATCGAAGACCACCACAACGAATTAACGTATAATTCAATCAGAGTTAAAAGAATATTACCCAACTCAGCACTGTTGGTTTCCAGCAAGCATATGGTGATAAATTAGGAAACCTTTTGTATATTTAAGATTGTCCTCTCAAAACATTTGGACGTCTGTGTAACACTGCCTTTAGGATTAAAAGATGGGGAGGGGGTCTGGAGTTGTTTACAGATATTTTAACACACACTTGAACTAAATACATAGAAAAATAAATGTTTTTACACATGTATAAATTATTCCACCCCCCTAGAGTCATTGCTTTTAGGTAGATACAGGAGATGGATCTTTTGCATGTAAACACAGTTGGTTTCCTTGTACAAAAGGCTCTCTGGTTTTTTCTTTGTTTCCACTTCAGACTTTGTGGGGGCCACTGTGTGGACATCTTGAATCATGCATTTCCTAAGCTAATTATTCCAGCGAACTAAGCCTGCTGGGCATTAAGGCTGTGGTTGGTGCAATTCCTACTCTGAGATCAACGTTCTCTCCTGTTTCATTATGTTTAAGATCACTAAGGAAAGATTTTAAATCCAAAGCAGTGCCTTCAGTGCCCTGGGAATTCAGATAAGGCACTGCTTCTCCTGGTATCACATACATTTTAGCATTACTGCGAATTGTTTTGTGGAATTCTGTAAACCAGGCTAATTTCTAAAAATGTTAATAAAACAGATATTTACCTAATGGCATTTTTAGAGCAGAGGTGAAGGGATGCTTACACACAGGGTGTCCCAATCAGTGTAGAAATTGTTGCAGGAGATTATAAGGTCACACATCACATACCTTCCGGGAATTCCTGGCGCCTTTCCTTCCTCCTCCCACATAACTCTTCCCAGCACAAAATTTCCCTTTCTCAGATCAGAAAGGAAAAGTACACACCCTTTTTGCTTCCTACCCTGCTCCTGCCTTTTCCGCAAAGTTGTTCTTGTTGCACTTTCATTTCTCTGTTCTGGTCCATCGATCCTAAAGGCTTTGGAGTCCTGCCCACTCAAACCAGGTACACCCTCTTGGGAGGTTCAGAAGTTTTCTCTCTTCGTCAATGACCAGCTTCAAGCTACCACTTCTTTTCTCACTTTCCTTTTTTGAAAACCAGCTTTACTGTGTTCATGATCATTTCCGAGATGACTTATTAAAAAAAACATCCTTCCCCGTGCTTCCTTTTTTTTTTTTTTTTTTTTCAAGCCTGCCTTCCAGCTGGCTAGCAGGAGAAAGGTCCCTGTTGAGCTGGGACCTCAGATTTTATTCATTTCCCCTCCATTACAGGAACGCTGCTCCCACAATTGTCACTGGTAGTAGAAATTCTGCTTTTCTCAATCAAGCCTATTTTGCTCATCTGTCTTCTTTAGCCTCTCTCCTCACTCCCTGGGAATGTTGTATATTTGTCATACTTACCCCAATTATTAAACAAAAAGGACACTTAACTACCATCGATTGAATTCCCAACATAAGTGTCCTTTCCTCCCCAAGAGTAACCTCAAATTATCCTCTTAGGCTTAGTGATCCCAGAAGAATGAAACATTCTTAACTATTGGCAGCGACATGCAAACAACCACACACATCCTTTCTCAAATACTCTGGTGAGATGATTCCTATTCTTAAAAAAAGGCACTTGCAAATATACAGTTATTAGGATTTTGTCTTTTATGTCTTTTCATAGTTACATCTTCACTAAGATAGCAGCTTTTCAATGAATTTGATCCTTTCCTGAAGTAATCATTCAAAATGTCTCTAATCACCACCCTTACTAGGTTTCCTTTAGGGATGGGGGTTAGCGCTGCTCATCTCAGATTGTGAATGTCTATCCTAAACCCATGCAGCATTATTGTGATGAAATCCACAGGGTTCAAAAGTTAATTCTTCCATGAATGTATACCAGGTGCTGGGGAAGGCTGGGAAGGAGAGGCTGGGTGGTACAGGTGATGGAGATCCTGAGGGTCTAGTTGAGCAAAGACATACTGAATACAAAACCAAAAATAACAACATGAAGTCAATGGAATAATAGTGTGAAGTCCTCAAGGGAGCCCAGAAGAGAACACAGTCCCATAATGGAAAGAGGAGGGTAAGAGGAAGGGAGTTTCACAGCAGACAACGAGAAGGGGCATTTTTGGCTGAGGAAACAGCCTTGAAATGTAGGCTGTACTTACTTAGAGACCATTCAGCAGTCTGGCAGAGCTAGATGGGAAATTTGGTAATTCTATGGGGAAGGAGACAGACACAGAACCTCCACCCCAAATCTTACCATCTCAGGGCCTAGAATCCTTCTTTGTTTCATGTCAGTTAGGCCAATAAAAGTACTTTTAAAGAAAAATTTTAAGATTTGCACGGCTAGTGAAATCTTTGGGATTGTAGGAAGAAATCACAGTAATAATAATAATATAATAATAATATAATATAATATATTAATAAACAATAAATAATAATATAATATTATATATAATATAATAATAATGTAACTATTATTATTATTTTGTCAAACTCCAAGTGATTTAAGACATACAGAGTATTTTATAGCTGAAGGAACTTTAAAGACCATTTCATCCAGCCTACTTATTTTATAAATGAGGAAATTGAGGCCCAGAGAAAAGTTCCTTGCTGCAAATCCACTGCTAGCTAGGAACAGAGCCAGGCTGGAGCACAGATCTCTTACTCCCTAAGCCAGGTCACTTGCCATGAAAATGTGTCAATCTGTGCACCACCCCCCTTCCCCACCATCGACTTGTCCTATTTCTCAGAGAAGAAAAAACAATGGTTAGAGTTTAAGAGGTTTGCCTGAAGTCACCCAGCTCCTGGTGGCTCAGATGGGACTCAAACCCTGGACGGAGCCAACATTCTCCTGTAAACATTCTTACTAAAACTAAACCCATTCACGAGGGATGGAGCATGAGACAGAAGAGTGAGTGTGGTGATTAGAGCCCCCCAACCCACGTATCTCCAGTCATGACCTAGGTAAGAAATACAGGGGCTGAAAGGGATCCGCTTTGCCTCAGCTGCTACCAGCCTAACCACGCACAGCTAAGCCCCAAGCAAGGAGTTCTCTTTCTTCACTAAGGGCTTAGCTGCAATGTGGTTTAAATTAGACATTTCTTGCCTGAGTAGAACAAATCACTTAGGTTATATGCTGACAAAAAAGGAACAGTCTGCATGCTTGGAAAGCTTAGGGGGAATTAAATTATGTGCTGTCACTTCAGAGTTGTTCCTCTGTCCTGTACACCACTACCTCTCAATTGCCTGCGGGAGCCGCAGAGCCTTGCGTGCAAGCGGTGCCATAACCCAGGGCTTAACATAAACTTCGGGCTCTCAGGTCATTGGGAAATAACAGGTATATCCGGTTGGGCCTTTTGTGCTTGTCTGCACGCAAATTAAAAGCTCGTGCGAAGCTGAACTCCCTGGAGCCTCTGGTTACAGAGAAGGGAGGATGCCTTGGAATGGAATTCTCACACAATTGCCCTGTTTGTTTTTCCAGGGAATTGGGTGATAGTGTGTGTTTGTAAGAAGTTTACACCTCTGGGAGGCTGAGCTCAGAAGGGGTGGGATGTGGAGGTGGCCCTGTGCCAGGTGATCCTCTAGGGAGCAGGGCTCCAAAGGACCCCACGTGGGTCCAAACTTTGAAGGGATGGTAGTGCTTACAGGGCAGAGAGTGGAGGGTTTTTTTTCGGGGGTGGGGGTTGAAGATCTCAAACTTTCTTGCTGGCAGCAACAATGCCAAGTGCAGAGCTAGGTGGGGAGGGGTGCAGGAGAGGATCTGAAAGCTTGGGGGCCGTGTACTGAGACTGTCACCTCAGCTCCCCACCTCCCTAAGTTTTGTGATGTCCCCAGTACAAGTCAGTCCTGAATCCTCCAGATGCCTGATGGGATTAGGAATGGAGTGTCCACTCTGTCTTCATCTTTCTTTCCATGGGACACAGTAGTATTCCCTTTGCTGTGACTTCAGCTTCCCCTGCATAAGTAGGAGAAATCTACGCCTGTTGCACTCCAATGGTGAGATTTCCTCTGGCAGGAGTTTGCCTAGCTGGTGCGGCTGGGAAGCGGAAGAGAGTTTTTGCAGCCTGGTGGAAGTGAATTCAAATTTCGGCTCAACAGACGTAGTGTGTGTGACCTTGATTGATAACTGCAACTCTTCCTGCCTTGCTTTATTTGTCTGTAAAAAAGGGATTAGGGTAACGGTTATCTCAAAGGGTTGGTTGTGTGGGATTAGTGAAATGATTTCTGTGAAGTGCTTGGCACGCTGCCTGGCTCAAAATTCTCCATATAAAGCAGTTTTTACATTATCAGCAGTATATTATTATTGTTACCATCGGTTTAATTGGCAGAACTGCCATCCAAAAAATTCAGACTGTGGCTCAATCTTGGGCTTTGATTTCAGGTTGTAGCTCAGATGCCCTCCTGGCTTCACACCTGAGCAGGACCCATATGCTTATTCCACTGAGCTGGGCCCTCCCAGCTTCCTGACCAGGCATCATCTGGTCTCCTGGCAGCAGGGATGTGGGCATCATTCCGTCTGTCTCTTCTTCCTCCTGCTTCCTGGGGCCAAAGTACATCATCTGGGCAGGTGGCTGTCATGGGGAGATGACATCTTTCTAGCCAGACACCTGGTGGTGGCAGCTCTGCAACAGCTTAGAGGGCTGCAGCGGAGTTCCGGTGTGCCCACAGTGGTCTCAAGGAGGCTATTCGCTTTAAATTGGTAACTGGGACATTATTTTTCTGAAACCTACCCCACCCTCACCAACTTCCTATGCCAAGACAATAGCCCATTTAGATTTTTCTTGAATGAAGAGACATTCACAAAATAAATAAATAAATAATCACACTCTTAAGCTTAAACAATGGTTCTCAAAGTGTGGTCCAGGGACCCCGTGGAGAGTGGCCCCTGAGACCCTTTCCAGGAAATTCACATTACAGCCGTGGGAATAAAATACTCTTTGCCTTTCTAACTCTTATTCGCTTACAAGTTTACCAGGGGTCTCTCTGCAGAAACAGATGTGAGTCACCTGCTGTCTTCTGTAACACTGTAAATTAAAGAGATTTGGAACAATATTTTTTAAAACTGCCCACTCTGACTAAATGTTTGTGATTTTGGAAACTAGTGATTTTCCATAAAATATTTATGTTAACATGTGTTAGGTTTATTATTTTTAATGTACTAACAAATAAATATTTTATAATTTTCAGCTTTAATTTCTAAAATTGTAAATATTGATAGATACTTAGCTAAACAATAGTTCTTTGGACTCTACGATAATTTTTATCAGTATGAAAAGGTTCTGAAAACAAAACATTTGAGAAACATTCAGCTAAGATTTTGGCACTGGGGCCTATGAAATCATTGCTTTTGCTCACTTCTAAATAAAACTATCATTTCTGAGGATTGGAATAGTGTGAATTTTATGGTAATTTCAATATAATGGGTTTGAGTGTAGCAGATTTAGTCATGAAGCCCATGTGGAGGCTGCATGCCAACTCTCTGCATGTTCCAGCCACTGTGTTAAATGAAGATTTTCTAAGCCCTCCCAAGATTTGACTGTAAATTGTGGAGATTAAATCGCTGGGCAGATACCAAAGATATTCCGCAGCAGGAGGGGAGGAGAAGGGTGTGAATTGCATCAGACTCTGGAAACAGATGGCTTTGCCTGTTGTGGTCCTGGGCTCCTGGAGGGAGCTTATAGCACTGGGGCAGCCCAGGTCCTTAGTAGGAATAACAGTGCTAGAGACTTCTACAGTTAGTGTAGTTAGAGGGCCGGGGCTTCTGTAAGACTTAGGATGATAAGCAGTAAGTCAACAAATGCGTACTGGTGTCCTATAGATGGGCTTTGCAGCCTGCAGACCTGAATCCTGACCCCTCTCCCTTGCAACCTCTGTGACATTTGGCAAATAGTTTACCGTCTCTGAGCCTTAATCCCTTTATATATAAAGCAGGCTAAATATACCAATATATTTAGGATGATTGGAAGAAATAAATGAAACGGTCAATGTAAAGAATAGAAAACAGTGCCTGGCACTTAGGGGAAATATTAGCATCTTTCTCTGTCTCCAGACTTGTTTGGTGGTGTGGGAGACTCTAAGTGAACAGAGGAGCTTAAGCCACAGGCCCGGGTCTTATGATTATAACATCAGAGAGGCGAATGCTCCTCACATTTAGCAGGGCACAGTGCTCCAATTGTGGTGCTCGAAATTGTTGGTGTGTTTATTCCTTGTTGAATTATATGTGTTACTGATGAGGCTGAGGCAGGAGGATCCCTTGAACCCAGAAGTTCAGGACCAGCCTGGGCAACATGGAGAGACCAGTCTCAAAAAAAAAACAACATATAAGTTGCTTTTCACCTCTCTGATTTGCTTCAGGGAGACTCAGGTATTATGTTCAGAGTCCAGAGTAAAAGAGAGCAGAAATATGGGTTCTCACCAGCCCTGAGTCCCTTCTATGTCGCTGCTGTGGAATAGGATTCCCATTTTACCCCTTAGCCCCTGGGTGTGGCTGGTAGCCTGGGGGCTCAGGGCTCAGTCACATCCTTACTGCACCAGGAAGTCCCTGAAATAGTGCAAGTGAGCGAGGTGCCTGGGGGCATGGCTGCTGGTTGGAGGCCACAGTGTCACCTTCTCAAGGCTCAGAAACTGAGAAGCCCTCCTTTCTTCTGCATTCAAACCCTTAAAATGCATGACCCACCAGTGACTGAACTCAGCACAATGGGAAAAGGAAAAACGGAGGTTAGCTGGCAGCAGAGTACAGGCCATTGAATCTAACTTTCCATTTTGGACTGAAGAGCATTTGGGACAATTTCCTCTCTGGCTTTTAAGAAGGGAGAGCTGGGAGTCTCCCTTTCTGCCTTCTGGTACAGGCTTCAGAAGCAGGCTCAGCTTCCCTCAGTGTAGCTGTCAGATGGGCCATATGCCCCGGGTCCGAGGCCACAGTACACTTTGACTCAGAGCTGTAATGTAAGAGAAAAAAGGCGGTGTCTTCTGGGAAGCTGGATAGCATTGCTTCATTTGTACAAATCACCACTGGGAGGTCCCACGACAGCGCTCTCCCTTGAGTTTTCTCCCAATTGCACTGCATGGTGTGGAGTTTTCTGAACTCTCCTTGGCAGGAAATGGTATGAGTGTTGTCCTGGAACCTAATTGCCACAGGGCTACAGAGCATCCATAAAAGCCAAGGAGGGACTGGCCGAAAGCCTAGCTTGGAGGAAGGGGCCCTCCATGGCCTCAGCAGGCTCTTTTGGGAACGTGGTATCCCTCTGCCTAAAGAACTGTCTCTGCACTGCCTAAGGGTCCTGATGTGGAGTGCGTCTGAATGAGGTGAAATGAGGTGAGGAGAAAGTGCTGCAGCGCTGCCATCTGGGAGTTGGAAGGAAACACAAATTGGCTATTGGTGCTGAGCTCTTCTGCCAAGAG